CTGTTGGCAGTCAGCCAAGAGGGACACGGGTCCAGTATGCAGGTGGAGGAACTCACAGCTCGCATAGCCTTGTCCACATTTGAATCCCACCACTGATCCCCATGCTACTTTGTGAAAAATTACAAAGAATTTTTTATTTGAAATTTGTTGTAGTAACAGCCCATGTTACTCATTTTAAGAAGAATTCATTTGTATTGCAATTTCTGATAAATTAAAAATATAAAAAAGGTTTTGCTATATATAAGTATTGTCACTTTGATTGGACCTTGCTGTGACTTTCTTGATTCCGGTTTCATAATATAGTAGGAAAAGTAGTTTTCATACTTCCAGTTTTATTTAGGATTTAGGAAAAGGACCCACAAGGAGTGTGCTTGCAAAATACAATAGCTTGTTGTTATAATTTGGCACAGTATTGACTGTTTTATTATCCAGAATTTTCCGTTCATTACAGAAATGTTTAACCTTCCTTGTAAGCCACCCATTGTCAATTTGCAAATGGGCAGTCCTAAAAATTGAAGCAAACAAATAAACAAATATCTCGGAGGATCCTAAAAATTGCTACAAGGTTTGCTTACTTATAAGATTTAGCCTTACCTCAATCCTTAATTTCTAGGCAGAAATTAATTATTTAATCAATTAAGTAATTGGTTGCTTCCAGACTCCGGACATTTTTAAGTTGTACATATTGTGTCTAACAAAGTATAGAGTCACACCAGAAGGTTCAGCAAATATTAAGCTTGCAGTTAGCATTCATTGCCTTCTGAAGATGTAACACATTTAAATCTAGTTATTTCTTTTCTTCCACTTTGACTTTGTCATATGTTTTCGATAATCATCTGGCAGAAGGCAGACAATATTTTGCTTACCAACAAAATAATTTAGCGTGTAGTAAATTAATTCAGCTGAATGTTTGAAGAAATACATTTTCACTAGCCTTCAGTGTTGATGACAATGAAATAAAACATAACAATGCTGAGCATTTAAGATACATAGCAATCATGTTTTATTACGAATGAAGGCATAATTAAAAGATGAAGAATACTTGCATATGACATCATCTTCGTGGTTCTTTGTTACTGCAATGGGTACAGATAGTCCTCAACTTATGACCACAATTGAGCCCAACATTCCTGTTGCTAAGTGTTAAGTGAATTCTACCTCATTTTAGAATCTTTCTTGACACAGAGGTTAAGTGAACCACTGCTTGTCAGAAGGTCACAAAAGATCACACATGACTCTAGGATACTGCTACTGTCATAAATACAAGACAGTTGCCAAGTTTTTGAATTTTGATCACATGACCATGGGGTTTCTGCAATGGTTATGAAGATGGAAAACTGTCATAAGTCAATTTTTGTTATAACTTCAAATGGTTATTAAATGAATGGTTGTATCTTGATGATTACTTGTAATTAGAGTGGGTTGAAGTGTATTTCCTATTTATTTGTTTATTGAATTTATTTCCCACCTTAATACTGAATGGAACACAAAAAGCAGAAAACAAACATAAATAAAAAATAGAACATAAAACACTACAAGAAATACCATATTTTTCAGAATATAAGAGACACATTTCCACCCCCAAAAGAGGCTGAAAACTTGGGTGCATCTTGTACTCTGAATGTAGCTTTTCAAAGCTTTTTTTTCAGCCCTAATGAGGTGCTAATGACTAAAGCAATTTTCCATGCTTTACCTGCTTTTCTCATTGCTGCTATCTCCAATGATCAGCTGTGCTTCAGAAGCTGTTCTTTATCCCCAGCCAGGGGATAAAACGCATGTGCATGAGCTCAAAACCAGCAACCTTATGTGCTGAAGCTGACCAGACTAAGGATGCTAGCTAGATCAATACCTGGTAGGCATAATTCCCCCCCCTATTTTACTTCCCCAAAACTAAGGTGTATCTTATACTCCAGTGCATCTTATACTCTGAAAATACGGTAACTAACAGTTAAAGTGTGGTAAAAGAGGAAGTGCATCTTAGCTATTATTTTAAGGAATTGGTAAAGAGCATTGTAAACTCTAACCCCTCTTTGCAAGAAAAGAATTTCCAAAGATTTCATTTCATTTCATTTTCATTTATTTGGGATTTATAGGCCGCCCTTTTCCCTGAGGGGACTCAGGGTGGCTTACATTCATAGGAAAAGGGGGGTGCAATACA